GGAGATGTTTTGGATTCTGTTGGTGATTGGAGAGGTGCTCTAAATGCGTTCAAAGAGGGGTACAAGCAAGTAGCTTCTCTAGTGACTTATAAATGTGCCTATGTTATTTATGTAAACAGCCACGTTAAAACAAGTATAATTGTAAGATTTTTCGGTTGGGACTATACATATGACATCGAGGTCAAGTGATAAATTCACCGCGAGGGAGGGAGCTTAAAACCTTCTATTAAGAGGTTTCATTTTGGTTCTATGCAATCTTATGCTCACAAACATATTTGACTTGTATAGAAAAATAATATAAGAGGGGAGGCAAGTGTCTTCGACCTAGAAAAGCAGCACCTCTAGCTTGTGCCTGCATTGCTCCATGATTTATATCAAAACTAGGCTACAATCCTTTTCTTGAATAATTTTCTGAGTTGTATCGAAATAAAAATGAAAATCGTTAAAGGTAAATTTTGCTGCTTTTTCTTCTTTGTTAATATATTCTATATATTGCTAAAGAGAGAATAGGTTGGAAAAGAACTTGTATGAAATGATTTACACATTTTCTTCAATCGAGAGTGACATTGACTGTTTTGATGAGCTCAGAACATTTTAAGTTAAACACTAATTGATATGTATATGCAAAAATATTTTTCTGAGATGGACCTATTAGCATAGGCTTTGAATTGCTAAACATGCTTGAACTTTAATAGCTTGCTCTTCTTCTGTTAGAAAACTAGAAAGACATATTATGCTTCAGTAATAATTGAATTTTTTAATTTCTTGCGTGTTACCTGGCATTCCTAAACTTGCAATTGGAATCTAGAATTGGAGAAACCTGTTTGACTTCTATAGTGTAATTTTTTAAATTTCTTGTGTGTTATCTGTATCTATCTATACCTTGATTGAAGTAGAAACTTTTGCATTTCAAGTCACGAGCAAGTATTAAAAGGTAATATGTATATCATGTAATAGGTGCAGCAAAAAGTGAAAACGTTCGAAGAACTGAAGAAAATGATAGGACATTGGACAATGAAATAAAGGAGTTTAAGGTGAGTTTTTTTTTCATAGTTAATTTTCTTACTATATAAAGTCCATTTACGTGTTTGATTTTTATTATTGGATTTGTAGGGATAGGTGGAGGATACTTGCCAAGGACTCTAGATCTTCCTACTCAAGGGAAATGTAAACAAATTAGGACCTCCCGGATTGTGCGTACTACTTGAGAGGACATTATAGTTTTATATAATTAACTGAGCAGACGAGCTACAAGTTTTGGAGTACATAGTTGTTAGTTCATGATATAGGAGTCATCATCATATGTATTCATACTTAGTGAATGATTTTTATTTATGTATTGATGATGTGTTTCGGATTCAATTTTACAGTTATTGACATTACATATTTTAACTAATAGTCTTTTTGCATCTTTATATTATTTTGAATATCGTTAAAACGTTAAAAATTCACTATGTAAAAATAATTTAATTTCTTTTATAATAGTTTGGAAACATGCTTTCCCTACCCAAAAAAGAAAAAAAAAATGTTTGTAGGAAAAACAAGGTTTAGCTTACAAAATAGTCTATACTATGTTACCACAAATTTCTAATTGTTCGGAAAATGTGCATGTTTTAGCCTACAAGTAATTTGTGAGGAAAAATAAAATTATTTCATAGGCAAAGTTAACTTTAGCAGACAAATAATTTTGTTGGAAAAAAACTTATGCGACGTATTGTATTCGTCTCCAAAGGGTTCGTAGAGAAAAGATTTAGCAGA